CGAGCCAGTCTGGTTTACATAATGAGTTCCAGGTCAGATAAGGCCACATAGAAAGACTTGTCTCAAAATAGTCAATTACTGTCTGGCATCATAGAATGAAGCACTCTGGGAAAACAGGCCAAGATTTAAAAAAAAAAATGAAAAAAAAAACACCCTAAGAAACAGTCAAAACCTCAGGAACTGGTCCTAGATGAAAATGGCCAAATGAAGAAACATCTATTGAAGAAAATCAAGTAAGGACCTGGTTTTCATAGGTTTTTTTTCTTTTTGCATAGCCATTGGTATATATATGCATGTTTGCAGGATGGGCCCTTCTGTCTAATTCACTGAGGTAGAGTCTCCATTCTAGTCAAGAACACGTGGCTCTCTCTTTCCTCCGACCCCAGCTGAAGGCCTTTCTCTGGTGAGAAGGGTGCTTCTCAGCACCTGTCACAGACTCAAAAGTCCTGGATCAGTGGTTTGGTGCCTTGGGACAATGCTTTTACCCTGTAAAGATTTGTTTCTTGTACTTGTTTAATAAAATACTGATTGGCCAGTAGCCAGGCAGGAAGTAGATGCAGGGCAATGAGAACAGGAGAATTCTGGGAAGAGAAAAGCTCAGTCTGCAGTTGTCACCCAGACACAGAGGGAACAAGATGAGAATGCCTTGCTAATGAAAGGTACCAAGCCATGCGGATAACACAGACAAGAATTATGGGCTAATGTAAGTTATAAGAGTTAATAAGAAGCCTGAGCATTTAATAGGCCAACCAGTTTATAATTAATGTAGGCCTCTGTGTGTTTCTTTGGAATTGAATGGCTGTGGGACCCGGGCAGGACAGAAACCTCAGTCAACAGGTTGGGAGTGGGGACTCTTCCCCTTAGTCCCATTTATGGGGGTTTATGTAGGCTGTACCTTGGTGCGGAACCCTGGAAGCCCTTTCTCCTCTTTCCTGAGATAGAGTTGTTCCATGTAAGAGAAGTGAGCTAAGAAGCCTTGTGGCTACAGGATTGTAGCAGCTCAGTCACAGAAAAACATGCTGAACCACTAACTGAAATATTCTTGGTGTCTTCGTCAAGTTATTTGCAATGTTATTCCAATACTGAATATTTGTATTTGCAAATTTTTGAGGCAGGGTTTGACTATGTAGGTCTGCCTGGTCTGGATCTCTCCATGTAGACCAGGCTGGCCTCCAACTTACAGAGATACACTGACCTCTGCCTCCCTAGTGCTGAGATTAAAGGTGGGCACCACCATACTTGGCTTATTTTTTAATCATCGTCTTTAATAGTGTCTTCATGCATTTATTTTAAAATCTAGTACTATCCAGACCTCTAATTTTAGGACTTGAGTATCTTGGTATGTATCAGTCAAATTCTGTAAACAGGAAAGAGTCCATATTAGATCCAATAGAATTATTGAGGCTGATATTGCCATAGACCTGGTTATATGTAATCCAAAAAGTTGAATTTCCAGGTGACTAATGGGCCTTTAATTTTTTTTTTATTAATTCCAGCTGAGAAATCTCGGTGACCTGGGTTAGGTTCTCTCCACTGACCACTGATCATAGCTCTGACTATGGTGAATCTTTGAGCAAGTTCAGACACAGAGAACATCCATTTCACATTTCAAAAGAAATAAGTTTTCTTCCTTTTGTTTTGTCTTGTTTTTCCCCAGAACCTTCATAAAGACATAGGAATTTACATACTGGGCCTGCTTGCAAGGACGGTCTATAAACGGGAGGATTAATGCCACCACCATATCATCACCAAGGGATAAGAGCAGCAGACAGGTTCTCCAGTCTTCTGCCTTTTGGTGGGCAGTTCTGGGGTAGTCTGTATGCTTCCCAAAAATGCCCTGAGGCACAGCCAGTTTTCCCACCTTTGCCCAGAAGTCACCTTGACAATAGACTTCTGTTCCCTCACACCACTCCTTTCTCCTGACTCTGAGAATCATCTCCCAGGTAAACTGTGTGTAGCCGAGTTCTCTGAGGCTTGGGACAAAACTAAGACAGAAGCATTTCCCAGAAACTAGGGAAAGTATAGTGCTCCTCACAAAACCAATATATATCTGAACATGGTAGGGGAGAGTAGAATGCAAAAGAGGAGGGGTGGGGTGGGCACAATGCCCTGGTTTTGCTGCTTGTGCTATGTTGCCAAGTGGTCCATTGGCATCAGGGATTCACCAATGCCACATGCTGGAAAATACCCAGACCACATGTCCAGTTGCTTGCCCTTGTTTTCACTGAAAGGCTGTGTTTCTGAGACTTTTACATGACTAAGGAGGAAAGAGAGCTGCTCTTAAGATTGGCTAGGTGATGTCTGCCTATCTCTGAAACTTGGCTTTCACTTCTGGAAAGAAAGGACCTAAAATAAAAGTCATTTCATTTAGTGAGCAAAAGAAGTTTATACATTGTGAAGACTTCTTTTAAAATATTGGAGTTGAGCCGGGTGGTGGTGGCGCATGCCTTTAATCTTAGCACTCGGGAGGCAGAGGCAGGCAGATCTTGGTGAGTTCGAGGCCAGCCTGGTCTAGAAGAGCTAGTTCCAGGACAGGAACCAAAAGCTACGGAGAAACCCTGTCTTGAAAATAAAAAAAAAAAAATTGGAGTTGGTGTAATGCATAGTATATTCAGTAAATTCGCTGAGAGCAGGGGAAAAATCATTTGAGTTTAATTTATTAGCTGCGTAACTTTGAGCAAATTGCTCTTTATGTCTTAGTCTCTTTATCTTGTCTTAGTTACTTTTCTATTGCTATGAAAAGACAGCACGACCAAGGAAACTTATTTTTAAAAAAGCATTTAATTGGGGAATGGTTTGGAGGGTGAGTCCATGACCATCATGGTGGGGAAGTGTGGAGGCAGGTAGGCAGACGTGGCACTGGAGAAGTAGTTGAGAGTTTATATATTATCTGCACGTTGGGGAGGAAGAGAGGGGGGTGCCTGGTGTGGGCTCTTGAAACCTCAAGGCACATCCCCAGTGATACACCTCCCCCAGCAAGACCACAACTCCTAGTCCTTCCCAAAGCAATCCATCAACTCAGTACCAAGTATTCAAATATATGAAGCTATGGGGGCCATTTTCATTCAACTCACGGTATACACCATGGGGCCAATGCTAATATTTACTCCAGAGGATTCTTGAGAGACTAAAATGAGATAATACATATGAAGATTTCAAAGGCATCAGATACAAAGTAGTTAATAAATGGTATTACTATTGTTAAATATTATACATAATAAAACAAATTATTTAATGTCTAAAATAGGCAAAGGTCTGTGCCTGGAATAATACTGTATCAATTTGGATTAAATTGTGAGAAGCTATAGTTATTTTCCCTGGAGAATGTACTGTGACCTTAACCACAAATAGTACCAAACAGCATGGTAAAAGTCAGTTGGCTGGCGAAGAACTGGAGTTGAACAGAGCAGGCGTTGAAGGGGGGCTATGTGTGTTGATGTACAAAGAGGAGGACTGGTTATTTCATTCAGCAAGGGACACAACAATCAATGTGCAGACCCAGGAATATCATGGGATTTAAGGCTAGACAATGAGGCAATGTGTCAGGTTCCTGCAGTGATGAGTCTGAGATGGCAGGCCTTGGGGGCCATATCTGTCTCTAGAGAGCAAGAGGGAGGGAGCCATGGAAGACTTTTGATCACAGTGGAGTGATCTGAACTTTAGGAAAGTTAATCTGATGGCAGTCAGGCAAGAGAAGAAGCCAGGTGGTGGTGGCACACACCTCTAATCCCAGCACTCGGGAGGCAGAGGCAGGCAGATCTCTGTGAGTTCGAGGACAGCCTGGTCTACAAGAGCTAGTTCCAGGACAGCTAGAACTGTTTGTTACACAGGGAAACTATGTCTCGAAAAACCAAAAATGGCGGGGGGGGGGGGGGCTTAAATATTGAGAGACTGGGTGAAAGAAATATACAGTGCTAACCAAACTAGGGTAGTAGGATGAGAAAAGTTAAGGTAACTGAAAGGATCTTACTGAACAATTAAGAGGATGGTATACTTCGTACCCTCTTCTCACAGACAAGAGATGACCCGTGGCTCACCTTCACACACAGCACCAACATGCAATAAGCAGGGTCTCAAACACAAGTGCACAGAACACTCATACTTATTGCGTACCTTACTTATGTATGTACCATACTTATGGCGTGGGGCTCCCTAAAAGACCAATTAATGCTTCATCACTTTGGAATCTTTTGAAGGCAACACTAGCAGTATTAGAAAATGAATCAATAATAGGAGGTGGCAAGAATACAGCTTTTAAGAAGCAGCCCTTGTCCATACAACTGGATTGGCCTTGCAAACATCACTGCGGGTACTATAAGTATTCTTATTTTGCAGATATGAAGATAAAGACTCAAAAATGAGAATTTTCTAAATTTTTTTTTAAAAAAATCCTAATCTTTCTAGTCTCACCTTAAATGTCATCTCCTCTGTAAGAAAATTTTAGAGTCTGAAAGCAATCTGAACTCCCCAAAGACCTGGTGATACTCTTTCATGGTGGTAGAACGTGGATTGTGGCCATCTGTGTACATATTGCCTCATTATTAAATGAAGCTTATGTAACACAGATGCTATTGAACTCCTATTGGTATTCTTACAGAGTTAGTCCCAGTGCATGATGTATAGGAGACTCATAAAATGTTTGTTGGGTTGATTGGAGAGTTAACTAATAATCTCCAGCGGACTATAGGTGTGTTTATTTGCATGTGTAATTGGTGAGTTTCCCCCTGGATCCTTTGAAGAGTGTGTTGATACCTCTGAAGTTCTGATGCATATAATTAAATGTGTTATATTTTTTGGAGTTCTTGTAGCAAACAGCAGGTTACATATTACAATGTATTCATTGTTCGGTCAACAAAAGACCTATGCATCTGTTTAAGAATTCAGTGAACAGGAGACACCGCCACGCCACCAGCGCAGCTGTACCAGAGCCGCGAGGAGACCGGCTGCCCGACTTCCTCCTCGCTGGCCGCCGCGTCCTTGTTCCAACAATCTGTTAAAACATGGTGGATTACTATGAAGTTCTGGGCGTGCAGAGACACGCCTCACCTGAGGACATTAAAAAGGCGTATCGGAAACAGGCACTTAAATGGCATCCGGACAAAAATCCTGAAAATAAAGAAGAAGCAGAGCGGAAATTCAAACAAGTTGCTGAGGCATATGAGGTGTTATCGGACGCAAAAAAGCGGGACATCTATGACAAATACAGCAAAGAAGGATTAAATGGTGGAGGAGGAGGTGGAAGTCATTTCAACAGTCCGTTTGAGTTTGGCTTCACATTCCGGAATCCAGATGATGTCTTCAGGGAATTTTTTGGTGGAAGGGACCCATTTTCATTTGACTTCTTTGAAGACCCATTTGATGACTTTTTTGGGAGCCGAAGGGCTTCCCGAGGAAATAGAAGCCGAGGTACAGGCTCGTTTTTCTCTGCCTTCAGTGGATTTCCTTCTTTTGGAGGTGGATTTCCTGTTTTTGACACAGGATTCAGTTCGTTCAGGTCACTAGGACACGGGGGTCTCACTTCATTCTCTTCAGCATCATTTGGTGGCAGCGGAATGGGCAACTTCAAATCAATATCAACTTCTACCAAGATAGTTAATGGCAAAAAAATCACTACAAAGAGAATTGTGGAGAATGGTCAAGAAAGAGTAGAAGTTGAAGAAGACGGGCAGTTAAAGTCCTTGACAATAAATGGGCTCAAGGAAGGTGGCAAGAGGAAGAAGCAGAAGCAGAAAGAGGACTCGAAGAAGAAGAAGTCGACCAAAGGGAACCACTAGGCTCAACTTGGCGGCAGCTGCTGAAGGCGCTCTCATGTGTGGTGCGCACGTGCACGGATTATGGACATGTGCCTACGGATCGGTAGGATCAGGGGTGTTGGAGATGGAGGTGACAATCTCGGGTGGCCCGCATAGTGTAAGCTTGTGACACATCCTCAGCCTTGTAACTCTGCTTTCCCCCAGCACTAAATCCGTAGCATTTTCCTCTTGAGTTGTAAGGATCTGCCTCATTCTTTTCAGCAGTCCGAGCCCTGCTCTGCGCACCGAGGTGTTTGTAGCTGTAGGAGTCCAGTAGGGCCCAGTAGGGAGCTGGGTATGTGTTCATGACTGTCTCCTGGCGGCGGTACAGTGGGCAGTTTTTAGTACAGCGAAACTTAACAGATAATGTAAGCTGAGTCTTGAGCCATGGGTTTTGGGGTGCTTGATTCAGTACTCTGGCAACATAGGCCATCACTAGCCACTTCAGATACAGTCTTTCCTTGTACTTATTGTTCAACTCTTAATCTTCTCCAGGTAGTCAAAAACTGACACCAAATGTAGTTTAGTTTTTGGGAAATCTCATCTTTTCTTCTTGGAGAAATAGTTACCCTTCAGTCAACAGGTGTTGCCTAGCAATACCATTTCTAGCTCTCGTAGGTCAGTGCCGCTGGCTCTTTACATAGCCACACAGGTGCATGCAGAAAGATCAGCCACCGAGCAAGAAGCTTGACCTCAGTTCTTCAGATTGCAAACACTGCCCCTTCACATCATCCTGTCACAAATCCGTGCCATGCTGCCGTCTAACCTGCCGTTTGCACTGTGAGCACCAGGTGGTTCCGATGCCGTCTCATTTCTGGACTACATTTGCCTCTCGGGGATGTGTTCCTTCCTTTCGGCCATGAGGATCTGTTGCTTGACCTTTGTCTTCGTGGAAGAGAGGGCGTCATTAAAAGTTGGTGGACTTGAGATGCCAGCACTTGGGTCTAGCAGTGTGGAGTTTTGTGAGTTATAGGCACTGCCGTAGCTAGGAGCCTGGGGCAGAGTCACCTGAGGTTTGAGGGGATGGCTGCGAAGTGTTTGCTGTGTTTGCTTGGTTTCAGTGGGAGGTGGTGTGGGTAGTTACCATGGAGTGTGAATTGGTAATAATGTGTGTTGTGGAAATGTGACCCACACGGCATAATGTATTTTAGTGCTACCAACGTAAATAAAATGTAAGCATCAAAAAAAAAAAAAAGAATTCAGTGAACAAAGACAGCAAAGATGAGAAATAACAGCGGTGCACACTATTAACCAATTCTTGCCACCCTAAAATTTTTGTTTTCAGATATTCCCTGTTCTATTTTGTATTCTTTACCTGCATTCTTTTGGTCAGAAGGAATCCCTTCTTTGATAACTCTACGAGGTTCCTTTTCCTCCCCCTATTGCTTTTACTGTAAAAATTTGCTGTTTCTCTGAACTGTGGTTTTATTTATTTATTGAGAGGGCCAGTTTTAACTGAAGAGTTATTTCTGAAGGCAAACAGATAGCTACATCCTCCTACAGCCCGGCCACCATAAGGCTCCAGACTCATAGACCTCTGCCGGGGGTGGGGTATCGGCGTAAATAAATGCAAGGCAGATATTAAAGAATATATACAGCTTTAATGACTAAATAAACTTACAGAACCGAGGTTCCCGCGTAGCACAGGAGGCAGGAAAAAGGGACGAGCTGCCTCCCGCGTGCACCCGATTTATCAGTATACATTTGCCCGAGGCAAACCCGCCCCCTAAAGGGGCTGGCTTAACCCTACATCTCCCCCTTTTGTCTAAATAAGACAGAACTAAACCAAATATAACTATAAACAATAATAGCAAATGATATATATAACAAACAATATTGAGAACAAAAGTTTTGCTAGACATTCTATCTCAAGGAGTCTAAATAATGTAGAGAATAACTACAATTAAATAATCTTCAGCTCTGTCAAAGATCTGAGAAGGGAATTACTTAACAAATGAGAGATATCCAAAATGTGCAACAAATGACAGAGACAACTGACTACCTGGGCAATCGTCCAAAGTCTCGTTTGTAATGTTGAGTCAACCAACTTTGGCTAAGGCCTAACATAACTGACTTACCATTATCAAATGTAAGGAACTTTCTTAGAATTATCCTACCCTGTCTTGGCAAGATAAGACAATCCTGTTTTATATCTTAGTCAGTAGTTGAGGTATGGGATTTTCTTAACCCAAAGGCCAGTTCTGCCAAGAAGAAAAGCTCCCAATGGAATGTCTTTGGTGCTCAACGTTCTCTCGGGAGTAGAGTGGTGTTGCCAGAAGTAATTGTGTCTTGTTGGCACAGAATTCTAGGTTAGATTAAAGGCCATTTTCTACAGCTCTTCAAGGAGGCTGAAGATCATACTATCTATACTAAATATAATCTCTATGTATCTAAAAGACCTGATTAACCTAAAAATAAATATGACAAACATATAATTCTCAATACCTATCTAATTTGAAAACTAAGAGAATAAACAATATATGAAGACAATGATCTTCACCTGTAAACAATGTCATTACATATCAAATGTAAACAATGTTATTACATAAATAGTATCAGAGATAGAAATGTACATTGTGATATGGTAGATGTATCAATACAATATAAGCATACTCTTATACAAAAATAGAGGTAGGAACACTCACATTCAATATATCAATATACAAGAAACAGTACCAATATAATTTTCTAAAAACAGTAAGTCACAAGTACCAATCATCCCATCAAACCAGTTAATACCCCAAAATATTGTTTATAAATGTTCTTTTACATTTAAAGGGGTAAATGATATAGGTATGAATAATTTGCATTGGTGTGGATTTTAAGGTCAATTTTGTTATATGTATATGTATTTCTGATATTGATTAAGGTATTGTGATTGTGTAGTTCATTTAAAAATGTACTGAATAATTAAGAAATATAGGTTGTTAATGGATAATCATCGATAATAGTAAAGCTTGTAGTCATGTTAGTTAGATTTTCTAGATATATAGAGATATATTTCAGATAGGCATTCTTCATATCTCTCAAAGGCTACAAAATATGGCATTTAAAATATTTTAATAACTTAGGGCTTTTCATGACAATGAGACATATCTGCTCCTGGCAGCACCAATCTACTTCGAGAGGAAGATGGGTATCGAAGAGGATCCTTATGGAGTTTGATAGCTATTTGGGCAAGAAACTGCTCTTGCCTGGACTGTTGCATAAACTGGACACAGAGAACCCGCAGAGAGAGGACTGCTGAACTTGCCTAAAGGTGAGATGGTCTTTCGGGGTTCCTGACTCATGAAAGAGTCTGCGAGACATTCTGCAGGATACAGCAGAAAATGACTAAACTGTCTTTGGAATTTTCTGCTTGATGAAAATGTCTGCTGGATACTATGGGCCTGAAGGCTAAAGATGGATGCCCCAACGGTACAAAAGAACTTTGGGTAACTGTCCAGCCAGCGAGATGTCTCTGTCATTTCTAGAGTTTTCTTATTTCTTGTTTACTTAGGTAGTATTATATCCTTCTGGAGTCTTTGATGGAGTTGAATAATGAATAGATAGTTATAGTTTTCCTTAGTTATGATAAAAGATAATATAGATATAAATATTGTAACTGTAATTCTTGTTTGATAACTGTTTTGCTATATGTAATTTTACTATGTTAAAGTTAAAGCCTTCCTTTTTTTGTTTAAACAGAAAAGGGGGAAATGATGTGGGAATGTCATATATCAATTTGTTGATTTCATTGGTTAAGCAATAAAGAAACTGCTTGACCCTCATAGGATAAAACATAGGTGGGTGGAGTAGACAGAACAGAATGCTGGGAGAAAGAAGCTGAGTCAGAGGAGTCGCCATGATTCTCCCACTCCAGGCAGACGCAGGTTAAGATCATTCCTGATAAGCCAGCTCGTGGGCTACACAGATTATAAAAAATGGGCTAGTCCAGGTGTGAGAGTTAGCCAAGAAAAGGCTAGATATAATGGGCCAAGCGATGTTTAAAAGAATACAGTTTCCGTGTAATTATTTTGGGGCATAAGCTAGAGCTAGCCATGTGGGCGGCCGGGTGCCGGAAAAGTAGCCCGCTGCTCCTAATACAACAGTGGGGGGGGGGTCTCACAGACTGCCCACTGCCAAAATTTGATAGACAGAGCTGGTTTCCTAGGAGGCAGGATGTTATTAGGGTACCATTTCTCACAGTGTTTGTTGTAAAGGCTCGCCTTGGGTGTTTGTAATTTTCCCCCTGAGTCTTACCCTAGAATTTACTTCCAAAAAGCTGCAGCAGGGGGATCAGTCATCTTAACTTATCAACACCTCAGACAAGTCATGACTAGAAAACTTGGAACTTTCATGCAGAGGTTTGAAATAGCCTCCGTCAGCTTTCATTTACGTGCCGTGTGCATCTTAGACGAGCTGCTATCCCTTTCTAATTAAATTTCCTCAACTGCCAATGGAGACAATTATAATAGCTACCCTTTTTTTTTCTGATTTGGGAGAAGGTTAAGCTAAATGAACATGGGTGTTAAAAATATAGTTCTGGAGCACAGTAAATATTCAACAAACGACAGCTGTCACGTGAACACGCCCCCGTTCTGTCAGTACTTAGCTTCTAGACCATGTCGGGTTGCCCTTGTGTCTTACCCAGCATATCGTTCTGTTGAATTAGGAAAGATGTTTGGAGGATTCCCTGAGACCATTGTGTTTTCGAACTCAAGAAGGCCTGGGGGGATTATAATACAGTACTCTGGTGCCAGTTGCTCCTTTTTGATCTATTTTCTACTTGTTTCCAGCTAACTCTTTCTGCCCCTGTGTGCTCCAGTTTGCCTTCACATCTCCCTGAAGGGGGACACTGGATGGCATCCATTGTGGATCTCTTCTGGACCCAGAAAATGTTTGGATCTCGCTTTCCTTTCATGAAGTCATAGGGCTTACCCATCAAGCCTACGTGCCACAGGGGTCTGTCTCTCCACCAAAGCGGAGTTCCATGGTTGGTA